ATGTTTATTTTATAAGAATCTTTCTCAAGATTATTAGTTTGAAACTGATCAAATCATAACTACTCCTTAAATTTTTCTCTCAACTAATGATTTACATTCTACTAACTTTGATTCAATTTACCCTTTATTCTATGATAGCCAGAGCTTATTCCGCAGGATCTGATCTATACACATGTATTAGAGACAAAATATTTTCATTTTTGTTTTTAAATGATATTCTACAAAGAATATATGAAGTTTTCAAGTGTACAGAAACTCATACTACAACTGAGCATATAATTCACCCATATAAATGCCTTAACAGTTGTTTATTCTCTTGTTTAAATAACACTAATAAAAGTCTTAATGCATATGCCCACCACCTGTTTTTCCCTGTGCTATCCTTCTGACCCTTAATAAGAACATCTCAACTCCATAACCAAATTTTACAACCCCTGTTATGTCAATCACATGGTAATGAACCAAAATCCCAATTTCTTAAATTTTAACATATTGGAAGTACATTTATTTATCTAATACTGAAGAACTGTGCCTTACTTTAGTAAAAACCACATCAGTTTAATTCCATACTACCTATTAAATTTATTAGAAATTGTAGTAAACATAATAAACTACTGCTCCAAATGTATGCTATTCAGGTGGAAGACACTACAAGAGAAGACACAATAGAGACTGCCTTGCAATGAAAAGTACAAATTCCTTCTCCAGCGATGGAGAAATACAAGGAAAAATCTAGATGTCTAAAAGACAATTCACTGTACATATTTTATTTACAGTTTTGCACACTGTTTGAATGTGAATAAGACCACTTTTCTACTTCAGCCATTTTTAACCAAAGCAAAATAACCTAAGTAATTCAAAGTGCTGAAATAAAGCATATGCATACAAAAACAGACAAAATAATTCTAGTTAGGAATGTAATTATGATTTTTTTAATAATCCACAATGGTGTTTAGGATTCCATACAAACATAGATCACTGATTTGAATGAAATGCATAAGTTTGTAGCAAAGCTTCGTAGTTATAAAAAAATTACCAAAGAATGCACAAAATTCATGATTATTCCACCCTTGTGTCATATTCCTGGATCCTTTACCAATGTCTTTTTTTGGTACTGGGGATCAAACTCAGGACCTTGCACTTTCGAGGCAGGCTCTGGAACCACTGAGCTAAATCCCCAGCCCACTTACCAATGTTACATGAGGAAAAACCAAAAGCAAAACAATTAAAAAACTGAAATCAGAATCACTAATGTTATCAAGTAGGGAAACAAATAAATTAAAATCTAGCAACCATCAGCAAGAGTACAGCAAAGATAATGCTGTCAAAAGAAACAAAGAAAATTGCTAGAAAACTATGCATCATACTCTTTCAAACCAGCAAAATATACTCCTGGATACAGTGGAATGTAATGATTTTCTTCCTGTTAAGGTATAGAAATACAAGCTCTTTTTTGAATATTGTAAATGGGTGAAATGTGTTTGTAATGGTAATTCTACTAAGCTATTACAGAGTGGACCAGGAACACATTTATGGATTCTAGGGATGCTGGGTACTATAATTCTTTGATTGGGATGGTGGATACTCTAGCAAAAATTAAAAAACCAAAACAAAAACCACAGAAGTAACAAGTACAAGACAAAGGTGAATGAGACTTCTCTTATATCTTAGCAACATTTAGATGGAATCAAATTTAGATGCAGTCCACTCTGCTTTTAAAGAGGCTTTGGTTCAGCTCCCAAATCTCAATAGCTTGACACAGTCTCCTATAAAAATACTCAGAAGGTGTCTTCTTAAACAACAAACCTATTTTTAGTGGTGGAACCACTCTTAGTAGCTATGTCAGCTACTAAGGGACTGATAACCAATCACTATTTTTGGAGGAAGTCCTGACCTTTCCTTGTATACTCTCCTTATATGTTGAACAGCCTCTCTGTTCTCACATTCAGTAGTCCATATTGCTATCTTATCAATTTTAGCTCCAACATTAACAACAGCTCCACACACATAATTACTGTGGTCATCAAATGATTCTCCAAAAAGACACAGCAGTCTCTAGCCAAAAGCAATTGAGGTCATTTCATCTCTGTTGTTTGTTCAATGTGATTAGCCATCGTCCTCTGCAGTTATTTTTCTCATCTTCCTACACGGGCTCAATACCATGCTTAAAAAGTGAGTAGTCACAGCCGGGCATTAAATTACTAGACAACTGGATATGGTTGTACAGAGCCCAAAAGTCTTCAACAGTATCAAACTTAGAGATCAGTCGAAGGTTTGCTTGCCAAGTTTTACTTTTATCATTTTTTAAAAAACAGAGTGCCCATCTATTCTGAAGAGGATGTTTAATATAGTTTTCTGGGTTAGCAACCTCCTGGTTAGATTCTGTTTCCTCCTCTTCTGCAGGTGGAGGATTAGGAGTAGGGGTGGTTTCTGGTTCCACAGTCACCATCTTAGATCGATCTGATGGCACCATCTTAGATCCATCTGATCGCACCTCTATTTTTTCATCAGTGTCTGTGCTAGAATTCTTAATCATTTCTTGCACTATAGACACAATGTCTGTTATTATCTGAGAAATTATTTCTGATTTCATTTTTTCCAGATCCTCTTTTGTTGCCAGTTCAGGGAGTCCAGGTAGATGAATATCAGATTGTTCCATCTCATTGCCCTTTGGGGTTGTCTTAGGTAATCTGGAAGTGTGGTTTTGAGACTTGTTTGTCTTCTCATTTCAACAGATCCAGCCTGCTGTGCCTTTGTTGAGGCAACTTTTTGTTTACCCAGTGGTCTTCAGTTTTCAGCAAGCCACTGAGAGGTCTTTTCTCTGCTGCTCACCACCGTGCCAATTTCTGGGTTCAGAATGGTGGCCTTCTGGTTCCCTGGATTGCCTTGTTGTCCTGGCACAGTTCTGGCTGGGGTCTTTGCACACTTGAGATGTTATCTGTGTGTATCTCTGGCTAGGGCCTGACCCCCTACATAGCTGTTGTATGGGAGGGCCTTTGGCTGGGGGCCATGAGCCTATGTCACTGTTGTCTGAGCAGGCTCCTGGCTTGGGTCTGCATGCACTTACCAATTGTATCTGGGTGGTCTGTGGCTGTTGTTTGCCCACCTGTGTAGCTCTTTTCCATTTGGTCCTTTGGCTGGGGCTTGTGTGCACAAGCTGGTGGTGTCTGTTTGGGGCCCTGGCTGGACCCTGAGAGCACCTGTTCAGCTCTGATCCATGTAGGCTTCTTGCTGGGATCTGTGCCCACTTACATATGGAATCTGGCTGGAGCTCTGGCTGTTGCATGTGCAACTGTGCAGCTCTTTTCAGGGCAGAACCTTGCCTCGGATCTGAGCTCCTCCATGCAGCTCTGGTCCACATGGGCTTCTGGCTGGGATCTGCACGCACTTCTCAGTTATTGGTTTATTTTTATTTTTATCTTTTGGTTCTGGGGATCAAACTCAGGACCTTGCACTTGCAAGGCAGGCATGGTGCCACTGAGCTAAATTCCTGGTCCCTGAGTAATTGTTTTTTGATATCAACCCTATCATCTGGCTTTGACACTGTCCTCACTTTGGTTTCTCTTGCTACCCATACTTTCAATATAATTTTTTAATATCCTGGATCTGTTTGTTACCTTTTCATAGACTCTAATTTTTTACCAATCTGGTCATTCATGTTTTTTATTATTGTGTTTAGCCCAGCTAGATTTTTATTAGTGCCTTTTGCAAACTCACTGATCATTTTGTTTATGAAGTCTTTTATCTGTTTAGTTATATTTTCTTTGAACTCACAGAACGCCTTATTCATCTGTTTTTCTTTTATCTCCTCTGTTATCCTTCTAAAGACTTCTACTGTACAGCTTTTTATTTCTTTCCCCTTGATGCATGGATAAGATTTGGGGAAGTTGGAAGTTTTTAAAGACATTTTGTTTTCTTGTCTTTTCATGTTTTTATTTTTGTGTGTGTATGATGAATTTTATGTGTCTCATTTTGTTGGGCTGGGGTGGATTTGGCATTCCTATTTTTGACTTTCCTCAGGTAATTCTGATGTGTAGTGAGGGTTGAAAACCCCCTGCTCAATATTAAGAAGCCATGGCAGTGTCTTGCTAGTTGTACACCATTTTGCATCTTAACTTGCATTTCTAACACAAAAATGATTCACTGAATTTTAAATCCTTTTTTACCGATGAAGGTTGTTACAGGAAGCTAGCTTTCTAGAATTTGGGAAACCAAAGGAGCAAATATCAGGTTTCTTTGAAGCTTGGTAAAATAATATGACCATTGCTTCCTTGAGCTCCGTCCTAGAAATGAAATATTATGGAAAACCATGACGGTATGGGTATGTGTGTGGGGCTGGGTAGGGTGAGGAGAGGAGGGGTTGTTTGCTCTTACTCTATACCTTTTAGGAAAAACATACAAGGTTTATTCCAAAAACAAACTTACAAAGTGAATGAGTAGTGCACCAGATATAATATTACAAATATTGTTGCTTTTACCATATGTATACTCATGTGATCTGTTGTAGCAGCCTTACCAGTTTACAGCAGCTTCTCACCAAAGCCGTATCACTTTGCACACCAATAGGATTTAAAATTTCTGTATTAAACCCATACTCTATATACACTACAAAATTTGCCTCAGTATGTGTGTGTGTGCATATGTGTGTGTGTGTGTATGTGAATGTGTAAGTGTGTTCAAAACTGGGCTCTAGTGTTCACTTTCTCTGGGGAGCATGAGTCTAGGAGAATAGCCAGGTTGAACTAAGACAGGACACAGACATGGACTGTGGAGACATAATATTTACAATCTTTCCACACATACCTACTACTCAACTTGTGCCACAGAATGATTTTGCTATGCATAATGCATCAGTAATTAAACTGGTAAGTTTTCTTTGAACACCTCTTGTCTCTTCCATACTTGTTTTTTTGTAAAGTGACCTTTAAAACACTAAATCACTTTTTTTAGTTTAGATGTAACAATATATTGTGTATGACTTGGTTTGTTCATAAAATTGTCATATTTGATATATTTAAAGATGTGATGGCCTTGGGAGAGAAACAGAAAAATTCAGGGGAGAAACCAAGCGACTCCTCAGAAAAAAATTTTTTTCCCTTTGGGTCTTCATAGCTCTCCTCCACTCAGATGTGCAGCACATAATAATGAACACAGGCTTGGAACATACTCCGAGATTGCTCTAGCGCAACTAGGGCTCAAGATAATTGTAATTTTTAAAAATAGGTTTCACCACTGTTTAGAACCATCTACAATTCAATTTACTTTATTGCACAAGCCACGAATAATGCTGTGAAAGAAAATGGACGGGCTAGTGCTGCCAAGCTGGTTCAGCATTCCAGAAACATGCACTTCTATGGATTCAACCAGTTGATAAGGACAGATTCAAATGGAAATGGAATTTCAGAATATGTAATCCTGGATACCAACAGGAAAGAATGGGAACTCCATAGCACCTACACTGTGGACATGGAAACGGAGCTCCTACAGTTTCAAGGGATCCCTATTCACCTCCCTGGTGGCAGGCCCCCTAGAGCAGATGCAAAATCCTGGTTTACAGAAGGGAAGATCTGCCAAGGAGGTAAGGAATGGAAAATCAATAGTAGTTATTTAACTCAACTGGGATTAACAGGGAAACACTTTAGGAAAAGGCATATTTTAGTATTGAAGCAGTCATAAAGTCAATCATTTCCACTCAGGTGACAAAAACATCTTGGCATTTTATCTATTTAATTTAAAGTAATAAGAAGAACAAGAAGTACTTTTACAGTCCTAAATAATCACCCACAATTTAAAAGCCTCCCCACCACTCATTTTTAAAAAAAGATCCCACTCTTTCCTAAACAGGTTACTCTATTAAGAGGAAGGAATTTGCCTTCTCCTTAGTCCTTTGTAATCTGTGACCTGTGATTGATTCCCCTGCTATAAATGTCACCTGTCTATCCCTTGATCTATCCAAATCCTGCCACTCAGGTCCTACCACAGAAATACCATATCTACACTGTCTCGTCTCTGAACTCCCATTATACTAAAAGTCTGTACCTTATATAGTACAAAATTGATTTTCAGTTGTTTTTTGTGTGTTTGTTGTGTATCCCCACTTTCCAAATATACTGTTACTTGAGGGCAAGGACCAAAGCTAATAATTCGTATGCCCCCCCCAAATGCCCACACAGTAGGCATCCAGTAAATACTTGCAGTTTAAGTTACTAGTTGGATTCCTCTAGCTTATGGAAGAGGGGAAACTTCATCAAACCTCTGAAAGCCAAAGGAGACCTTTGGAAGGACCCATATTATTTTAATGCAAGTGTATACTACACCCTTCCAAAACCAAGTGGATCTATTTGAAGTAGGGTTTGATTTCTATTTTGCTTTAGTATGGCATATCCAAATTCCACTCTATTTACATCATTATATATTTTCCTCTGAAATCTTAGTAATCTATTCAACTATTTAGATTTTACAGAGACTATTTTACTTGCTGATAAAAACACTAATTACCAAAACCAGATTCACTGTCTCCCTTGAAGGACGAGTACTATGATTTTCGTCTGTAACCCATGTGGTCTTGGGCTTGGGTGAATTAAGTGTCTTTTATTTTATGAAGGCAACAATACTCACTCTTCACAGGTGAGATAACATATTTGTTCCCAAGAACTTTATTGCTGTCCAGCTTAAATTAAGGTACTCAAAGTTTTCCATTCGTGGACCTTTTCCTCCAAAGGAACACTCCAGTCAGCCTTAATTCATGTGATTTGTTATTGTCAGAGTGGTGAGTGGTTTTGCTTCAGAACAGTGAAATTGCTTTCTGTGTCCGTAAAGTCAACAAGACAGACTGTGCTGTAGAAAAATGGAATTAGGTTAGGTAGATGTGGCTTGATTTTAGAGTTACCGGAAAGCATGAGGAGTTGCTCTGTGGGGCTTTTTATTTACTATCTTTTTCTGATAATGCTATTCTTCCTCTTCCTCTCATTCTCTGCAGGCATCAACCCTGCCTTTGCCATGATGGTCTGCCTTGCTTTGTTTATGGCCCTGCTATTTATTAGTGGATTTGCTTACTTTATAAGGTACATGTTTTTGTTGTTTTTGTATACACAAAATACAAGTCCATAATAGCTTTGTTAATATTGATTTCCAGGAAATCATGTTTTGGTACAATTGCCTCATTAAATCATCCACTGATTTTCTTTTTTCCATAGTGACTTACCATTCCTTACCAGCCCCATTTAAAATGAAGTGTTTTCATGATGGCAAGAATAACTTCCTCAGCTGTGTTGTCAGTATTATTGCCTATGAGTAGATTTGGCTCTAAACACAATGCTGAAATAAGCAAACTAATACTTCAAGGTCTGTCTATTCCTTATTTGTACTCCTTTTTGCCCACCAGTGTTTTCTATTTTCATTTCCTTCGCAAAATGGGAAATGGAGGTGTGGTAGTTTAATGAGTTCTAAAAATAAAATAGAACTTGACTAAATCCAAACTCTAAGAATAGTGGTACTAACTCATAGGATTGTAGTGGAGATTAAATAAAGTAAGTGAAAAACTTAGAACAGTACCTGACTTATAGTAGGTATTTAATAAATAGTCAATATCAAATTCTTCTCAGGAATAGGGGACTGTCTTGATAATTGTTGAGAGCCCAAGACCCTCATTTTGACATCCCTGCCTTTTGTCTAAGATATCATGATCCAGATTTCCACTGTTTTTCTTCCTTGGACAAAAACTATCCTATCTAATTATCATCAGCATCATTTTTTTTTTGGTACTTGGGATCGAACTCGGGACCTTGCACTTGCGAAGCAGGCAGCGGCACCAGTGAGATCAATCCCTGGGCCAGCATCATCATTTTGATCAAGTCTTTATCTTTCTTCTTCAGGTCCCCTGATAGGTCACCACCTAATCTGATAAACTATTTTAGGACTAGAGATAAGTGGCAGAAAATGGTTTAACATGACACTGCTGTTTTATCATCTTTGCATTTTAAGAGTTGTACCCTCTCTGTGCTATGACAGTTTGAGATTGTGAAATAAATCACAATCCTCCTTCTTTGCCATGAAGACCATACCTTTGTCACCTCTTTTTATGTGTAGTCCTGACAACAGTGTGGCAAGGACTAGTAGGGAATAGAGTGGAGCTATTTTGGTGAGTTCCAAGAAAAATGTTTAGAGTATATTCAATAGTCATGTACCTTGGACAAGCCATTTAACCTCTCGGTGAGAATTTTCTCAATTGTACAGTGAAGGAATTGAATTAGATAATGCTAAGAGTACTTCTAGCTTTGATATTTTAATGACACTGTGAGATCCTAAATTGAAACCATAACAGATTTTACTTTTAGTGTTTAATGTGTTGGTATCACAGGGAAAACCTGATATCATCTAATATTCCCAATAGAAAATTAATACAGACACAAAGAATAGTAAGCAGCTTAGTAATTGTTAAAACACACTTGATAAAGACATTAGTTCAAAGGAAGTTTTCCTTCTAATTTCTGGGACTGTGACATATATCTGCTAAGAACATAATTTTCATGTATTTGGCTTTTTTAGCTTTAATATTTATTTAACATCTTTAGATACTTAGCAAAAATAAACAGCACCCATTCAAAACACTTCCCCCCTCTAGAGAGATTTGAGGGTTAATAGATTGCTGACCCAGTGCTGAAACATCCCATGCCAAGGTGGAAAATGGAATCACACTCAGTTGCTTATGTTACTTGTCAGTCTCCCAAATGATAGTTCTCCCTAGTTTTCCCCACTGAATCAACTGGTTCTTTGGGCTTTGAGTAAGCCCAGACTGCAATTTTTGAGAAGAGAAGGTGGAGGCAGAAAAAACCTGCAGGGTTGGTGGGTTTGTTTGGAAATTGTGGAATGAAGGGCAAAGAAGACTGGAGAGGAAAATGATTGGAGAGGGACATGATTAGAGAGGAAAATGATTGGAGAGGAAAATGAGTTTGAGACAATTGCTACTTCAAGTGGTCACAAAAAACTCAGAGATGGGAGAGAGGTACATCATTTTCCAGAGTCACTTGCTTCTTGGTTCTTCAGCTAACAAAGCACAAAAGATGCCCCCTCTTTGCTCCCTTCCTCCCTCTCTCTGCCCACCACGGCTGCAATCAGAAGAACTGAGCTGCTGATGAGTTTCTGTAATAGATGGTGATTACTTGCAGGAGAGTGACTCTCTGTTCCTTCCTTTTCTGTGTGTTTTGATTGTTTAAGTTTTTTTTTCAGAAAGAAAGACGTACAAAGAACCCAACCACCCCAAAACAAAGAATTCTTTGAACTCCTCTTTTCTCCCTACTCCTCTGAACTAGATTGCATTGCCTTTGTATAAAGCTCTCCCATGCTTTGTAATACTAATGATGATAATGATAATAATGAGCCCTTATACTTTCATAGTGCTTCATGCTTTTCAGAGCATTTTCACATATATTATCTTATTTGATTTTCAAAACAACTCCATGAAACAGGTAATGCAAGGACTATTATCCAGCTAGAAAGGAGACACTGAGTCATGAAGAGGTTAAATCATTTATCTAAGGTCACCTTCACTTGGCTAATTACTGGCAGACTCTGCACTGTCCCTCATCTCTGGATTGGGAGTCCAATTCACTTTCTACTAGAATCTATTTTGTAGCATGCTCATTTTTACAGGTGTGAATGCTTTAAGACAATTCACCACCATATGAAACAAATAAGTTAGGAAGTAATGTATTACTTGCCAAAAGATGCATGTGCTCCACACAATAATTCACTGCAGGGTTCTTTTAATTTTCTCTGCAGGGTAGCATCTCCCACTGTGATAAGGGACACATTTGTTGGCAGACAATTAGCAACACATTAATTATTTGTTTACAAACCAGTGAAATCACTAAAAAAATTGACTGGGTTGCTAATACTTAAAGCTACATTGACATTGTAGACTTCTCCTTAGACCAATTTGACTAAGCATTTTGAGTTAGTGGTTTCTTTCTCCATTCTGGCTCGTGACTTTAACACATTCCACAGAATGATCATTATGGGGTTGTAGAAAATACAAAGACTTAATCTAGATGTCAGTACCTCCAGGACAAAAACAAAAACAGAAACAAAAATCAAAACAACCACAGACTAACTCAAAGCTTCTTTCAGGTCCTCAGGTTTCCTGGTCAGACCTGCCTGTGTGAGTAGATGTCATAAACTGTTTTATGTCAGTAATTGAGTTTTAGAAAATGATTACATTCACCGGGAATTAATGGGCACATTTGGAGAGAATCTTGTTTTAACTGTGTCTATGTAATGCTCAGATGAGACCGATTCAGTAAAAGGAAAAAAATAAACCCAGTCAGCCTACTTGTTTGGAATCATGTAGACAAAGCAACCAGCTGACTGATTTTTTTTGCTTTTCAACCTGTTGCTTTGGCAACACATAGTTGCAACTTTGTAAGACAAGTGGTCTTATGGGTAGAAATCCAGGCCTATAGCCAGGGACCAAGGATTCAAGTTCCAGTTCTGCCTAAGGCTAGGGAATTTCACACAATTTGCTTAATTTTGTTTTGTTACCTTAACGTGTTTTGTCTATAAAATGAAGATTGATAAATCTTGGCCCTGGTATTTTTAGGAGAAATACTATGCCATATGAGAAAGTATATTGAGTTCTTTAAAAGTATTCAGAGGTGTTGTTTTGAATGTGCCCTTGATATGGGATCACCATTTTATTAGTCTGAGATACTATCTCCATGAAGTGCACTCATCCCTCTCTTTTAATGCCTCGACAAAAGCATTTTAATTTTTCTCTTTTGGTCTTTTTAACTTTACAGGTTGTGAGGATTGTTGCCTGCCTTTGCTGTGGGTATTATGGTAAACATCTATGTGCGGTTTTCTTCCCAATTATCTTGTATATTCTTTAACTACGACCTTAGCAAATCAACCTTGCCTTTGCACAAACATCCATTCCCTGACCTTCTGATTTCATGTTTGTTTTAGGCATCGTATAAATAAAATCCAGTTGATTAAAGGACCCAACAGAATTTACTAACGTTGGAGGATGTAACATTTATTAATCCCCACTCTGGCAGTAAGGTAAGAAATAACTTCTTTTCTTGCTGCACTGTCCAATATTGTAGCCACAAGCCACAAATTAAGCACCTGGCATGTGTTTAGTCTGAATTTTAATGTGTTGTAAAAGTAAAATACATATTGAATTTAGAAGACTTAGTACCAAAATATGTAAAATATCTCATTAGGATGTAAAAATATTGATTACATGTCAAAATAATATTTAGATATATTAGGTTAAATAAAACACATTAAGGCTAATTTCCCTTATTTCTTTTTATATTTTTCAAAGTGACAAAATTATATCTGTTGCATGGAATATTATTCAGCCACAAAAAGAATGAAATCTTGTCATTTGCAGCACCATGGATAGAACTGGATACCATTATGTTAAGTGAAATAAGTCAGGCACAGAAAGATAAGTGCCACATGTACTCACTCATGTGTGGAACTTAAAAAAGTTCACTTCAAAGAAATAGACAGTACAGTAGTGGTCCCTGTAGAATAGGAAATGTAGGGGTCAGGGAGATAGATGAAGGTTGGGGAGCTGCTACTAAAATATACTTAGACAAGAAGAATAAGTTCTAGTGTCCAACACCACAGTAGGGGGATTATAATTTACAAGAACTTACCATATGTTTTATAAAAAAACTGCAAGAGAGGAAGGAGTTCAAAGGTTCCCAGCATAAAAAAATAATAGAAATGATAGATTTAAAGAGGTAGAAATACTAATTACCCCGATTTGATCATTACACATTGTATAAAGACATAAAATTATTACATTTTACTCCAATAAATATGTACAGTTTTAAAATGTTAATTGAAATCTATGTAATGTGACTCATATTACATTTTAGTTACATACTACTAAAAGAGCAGTGTTATGAAATAAATACAGTACACTTTGGGGAATAGTTTAGCTTTGACTTCATATAGCCGTTTTTTGTATACTTGGGCTCAACATTTGACGATTTGTTCCTCCAGGGCAGAGGTATGATTTTGTAATATTAGCCTATAAAAACTGACATGATGCTTATAATGTAACAGGTTCTTGTAAAACTTGGTGAACAAAAGACCTAGTAAAAAAGAGCTGAATTTCAACAAGGAGCTGTGGTTGTGTTTGTGTTGTAATAAGTGATCTTCATTAAGGTCCTGTTACTATGCCCTGAACATGGGCTAGGCTTTCTGAGAGATGGCATATAGACCTTGCAATCAAGGGAATTACAGTCAAGTTAAAGAGACAAATCATATCACACAAGTGAGTTGATAGATGCCATATTACACAAAAGAAATTAGAAAATACAGCGGGACTCCAAAGGAGAAAAATCAGTGGAGGGAAGCTTTTCAGAGACCCAGAACCAAAGCTGAATCTTAAACAAGGAAGGATAGAATCTGTCTAGGTAACAGATTAGAGACTGGTCATCTCTTTTGTTTGATCCTCATCCTCATAGCTTTAAAAAATAGTAGCCAGAATTTTAAAATTATGAAATTACACATAAAAATCTGGATCTCTGGGTTTTCTTTAGAAGTTGGGTGGTGGTGGTGTTCTATTACATAATCATGATTATAGATAACAATATTGTATTGTATAATCCAAAATAGAAGAGAGGATTTTGAATATGCTTATCATACAGAAATGATAAATGTTCGAGAAGCGGTAAAACCTAAGTAATCTTAAGTGATCAATGCGCAATGTATAAGTATGCCCAAATATCACACTGTATCCCATAAAGATATAGAATTGTTGTCAGTAAAAGCAATTTTTAAAGTTGAAAGGTCTGTCAACCTTAGTTCTCATTGCAGCAATTGAAAGAAACTCAATAGTAGGTCTCCTTTTTGGAAGAGGAAGTTTCTATGCAGTTTGATAGTTTCCATTACTCTATATTGCCCTATACTCAGACTATTTCACCTATTTATAGTATCTTCCTATCTCCTATAGGCATCCTAAGCAGAGGGAACTGCATAAACAGTAGCTTAGAGAAAAGAATATGTGGAGAAGAGTTTGGCCAAAGGTAGCCAGTGTGTTTACTGTTAGTCTATACTAGTCTTTGCAAATTCTTGTTGTGGCAGGATGTAAGGAGAGAATGCAAACATATCACATCATTTCCATGTGGCATTTACTATTGCTATACTACTGTGGCAAATTTGAGAATTATCTCAGTGACCAAATTGGTCATTTCCTTAAACGTGATATGGAAAGGTATATTTAATTAGTTGGCAGGAAGACAATGGATTTACATGGTACTATCTTATGCAGGGAAAGTCAAGTGAATTGTTGAGCTGTTTACACTAATTCTCATTTACAGCCCTAATTCTTAATTTTTAGAATCATCATATCTCTTTGTAAGATTGATATAATGTTCCTTGAAATGTATTGACAAAAGCCAAAACTATCACTGTGGCTGAGCTACATTCCACTCTCATGCCACAAAAGCTTGCTGATGTTTGTCTTCATTTTTAAAACTACTAGAGGACACTAGGACTTGTGATGGAATTTGTCTGTATTTGTCATATTCAATATAGCTGGGATGAAAATTTCTGTCTCAAGTAGTAGAAAGTGTAAATGATGAAGGACAAGCTCTGAAGCAATCCCAATATATAACTCAGCACTAAGAAAAAAGTGATTCTGTGACAAGATATTTTATTCAGAAATGAGTGATAAGTAGTAGAAGTCATTGTCTAAATGTTGTAAAATATAGTAAAGTTTTGGTCAAAAGAAATACCCTATTTTTAAAAATCCCTACTTCTTCCTTATCCATGTCAAAATGGCAGACATGTCAATTGCCTAGATATTTGGTTTTAAAGTCTCAAAACAATGAATATAGCTGAATTTTTGACTGAATTAGTTTTTCTTTGTATAGGCTTTGCAATATCTAGTAAAGTTTAGAAAATCTTTGCCTATACCTTTTCTTTTTTGTACTAAAACTTAAACTATATTTGTGTGACTAAAGCACGCCAGTTCTCATCAAATCCTCATAAGTAGCAGAGAAGTGCTAAAGACAGGTTTTAAAATCTTCCTCGTGATGGTAGATTTTTTTCACTTATGCACAAATTTTGACACAATGAAAATTTAAAAAAATGAATCATCACCAAGTTTTACCACATGAGTGAGAAGAATAAGTAGCAATAGGAATTGATATCTTTATAAGGAATGTTTTTTTTTGTTTTAATATTTTGGTCCATGTGAAAAACAATGGGATTACCCTAGAAGAACATAGATTTTGGCCTCAAGATGCCTTATGGCATTTGGCTTGTAACAAGGATTCTGATGGGAAAAGATGGGGGTAGCATACATTTTTCTTAATTGCTGTGTAGTCACAGACTTGCAGCTGGCTGTATCTAATCAGTCAAGAAACCAAGCCAAGAATTCCATCCAAAAGGAATGTTTGAAAGGGTAAACTCTTGAAGAACATAAAATTAATTCAGTCTAGAAAAATTGGCAGGTCAGGAGAAGTCAAGTTAGGAAAGGAAGTTTTTAGAAGAAAGTGAAGCTGAAGTCCAAATATATGTGGATTTTGGCAGGTTCTATCACTTTATCCCTTGCCCTTCATGGAGAGGTGTATGACTTATTATATAGATCTAGGTGTTCCTGATGAGATATAAAAATAAACAATGAAAGGCAAGTAGATTCCTCCCTGACATTGCTGTGTTGGAGAGAGTGCAGGTTGATACAAGGGTTATGTGAAGAGTCAAGTTTTACAACTTGTCTGAATCTTCAGCTGTTGGAATTTTATAACTGTACAGATTGAATATAGTTTAACGTTGTCTTAGAACTTTGTAATAGTCTTAATGTAAAAGGGGTTGAACTCGGGGCTAAGTCAACTAATGATTGTCAGTGGATCAAAGATCATTAAGGGAAGTGTTGGAAAGCAATTAAGATTAAATTTATTGGCAAGTAAGAATGATACAAAACATGATGTGGTGGAAAGAGCACAGGGCCAGGAAATTTAACACCAAGAGTCTTGTTCCAGCTCGTGTGTACTTCTCTAGGTCTCTGTTTCTTTATTGTGAAAATGAAGGTGTTGGGGTTGGAGGTGTGAGCTGAACTATCCAATACTAAATGTAAATGGTAGTTCTGAGTTGCTACAATTCTTACAAAGACACATTTGGAGATATGGAGAACAATAATGAAGAACCTGTTGATTTATTGTATCTTCATTTGAAATATGTCTACTGGTTCAGTTGAAGGTATAGAAGTTCTATTTTAAAGATCAACATATATTACATATAACTTTTTAACTTATCATTTAACTATGAAGTTCTCAGCCATCTTTTACAACACTTATGTGTGCAAGTTAACAAATCAAGGAATAGAGAATTTTGCCTACTTAAATATCAGACTCACAAATCATGGGCAGATGATTTGCCTACTTTCTACCATCTTATTGCCTTTGGGGATACCGTCTGCCATTAATCTTACCTCCACAAAGAAGGATGCCTTTCAGTATGTTATAACAAAAAGAACCAATCCCAAGAGTCAGAAAGGTGGGATTCTGTCTTATTTCTACAATTTTTAAGATGTTAGATTTTTATAAACAACACTTATTGTAACTAAACCTTTGATTATATAATATTGGGAAACTCATTTCCCTTTTTTAATCTCAATTTCTTGTCTATAAAAAGTTTCTCGATTTAAAAAGTTCTGAAGGATATGAAAATTTAATCAGTTTAATGTAGACCCACAAATAGTTACTTTCTTATGAATAGAAAAGAAAAAAATATAAGCATAGTACTTATACCATAGCTCAGTGTTCTGTCTTAAATCACAAAAAATGTGTTTATAGCATTTTTTCTTAATCTTTACACAGAGAGCAAGTTGTGCCAGTGTAAGCTTCCAGATCATCTCCAAGATTCAAAGTGGGAGGTTCCCAAGGCCCTCTTTCTCTTCGGGGAGTCTAACTCCAGCTACCTATGAAAATTCCAACATACAATTTATGAGGTAAAATGTCCAATAGCTATCTAGCATGCTGTCTTCTTGTGTTGTAAAATGCAGCAATGATTTAGAACTTAGTGTCTGGGTAAAAATATTGAGGAAAATCTTCCATGTTTCTTTGTCTGTGTCCACTTATAAACTTATTTGGTTGACATTATTTGACAATGATTTTCCTCAGTAATTAATCTTAGTTATAACCCCATTGATATTTCAACTCAATGTATTTACAATGCATGTGGAAAAAAGTCTTTGAGACCCAAACACTTAAACATTTCTTTCATCCTACAAGCGTATATGTAAGAGAAGAAATAGAAGACTGTATTAATAGAATAAAAGACTCCATGAGCTGTTTGGGATGAGATGTCAAGAGGCATGCTTGTGCTGGGTAGGGTTTGAGGTATTCCTTCTCTTTAAATTTTAGTTGTTACTACACTTGTTATCCTCTGATGTTATTGAAACTTTAAAAAATCATTTATTTCTCTTTCTTCACTTGTGCTGCCTCTTTGAGTAACAGGTTACTTTCTGTTGCATAAAATAATTTTTTTTAAAATTTCACTGAAGTTTCTGTCTTTCAAGTTTTAAGAAGCCACCTTCTATCCTTTGTTATAAGGTACTAGAATTTGGCAAACAACAAATATTGAATCAGTTGGAGAGATGAACTGTTTCTTCTCAGCAGGAAAGAGTTAAGTAGGGGTAAAAGGGAAACTACACTGTCCTTCTGTCCCTCCTAAGTGATGCCTTCCCAGTATGGTTTCCTTGTTTTGTTTGAAGGTACTCCCAAGAGCAGCAAACACTCTCAACTTCAACAGTAACTACAAAGAAAGTTCTAAGCAAGAAAGAATGAGTTTTTATATTGTTTACCTTGAATTTTCCAAATTAATGTTCTCCGTCGATGTAATTTATGGGGACCTTGCTATGGTTGGAATGTGTTACCTCCAAAATTCACGTGTTGAAATTTAATGGTCAATGTGACATTATTAAATGGGGCTTCTACAAGGTATTAGGTCATGAGGGCTTACTCCTCTCAGAAGAATAGGATTAAGGCTCTTATAAAAGAGGTTTTGTGCAGCATATGGTACCTTCCCTTTCCACTTTCTGCCATGTGAGGACAAAATATTCCTCCTGTTCAGAGGAGGGAGAACAAGAAACCACCATGGAAGTACAGAGCATCCCTCACCAGACAACCAAACTTGCTGTGCTTTGACTTTGGACTTCTTATCCTCCATAAATTACCCAGCCTCACAAATGGACTAAGACAGATCTACAGTAATGGTATTGACATGGCATATATATATTTTTCATTATACCATAGCAAGAAACCTCTGGATCTTACCTTGGACTTAAATTAATCAAAAAGATTTGCTTCAAATATAAACTTGAAGTATTGAAGAATTGGCTCTTCTACTCTTTCAAAGATAAAAGATCAAGCAATCAGATAGCTTTTGAATATCAAATGGAAGGGTTCAAGGCTTTACACCTAAAGATTCTGAGACGAATCTCAATAACTTTTGAGTGCGATCTGCAACATGAGGAGTTGAGCTAAGTTCTTAATCCTGCTCACTAGAATCTCCTTGGGAAACACAAAAATATACTGATTCCAAGGTTCCCACCCCTAGTAATTCTGATTCAGTTGGTATGGCTTTAGGTCCAAGCATTAGTATTATTTTAAGTTCCTTGTTATGTGCATCCATATTTCATAACTTCAAGATTAAGATACCTCTAAAGGCCTCTTCTGGCATGGATATACTATAATTCTCTGATTCTGCAGAAGAATTTACATGTTGAATTGTGGTATGTTTTATTAGGTGAGGTTGGAAGGTTGGAGTGTAGAATTGAGATGGGAAAAAAATAAACATCTGTATGTAACTAGTCTTTTTTTTTTTTTGTATGTTACTAGTCTTTAAGACTGTGTCAGATATTTTCTCATTTTGAAAGGAGGCAGGGAGCAAAGTTAGTTCTCAGATTGTTACCCAGGTCATGAGTGGGGACTTTTGTATTTACAAAAGGCACATGATAGTAAGAATAACCCCACACAGTGGAGTCAAGATCAAGCTGATGGCAGGGTGTGAAGGAAGACATTAAGACTAGAAAACTGCTTGGCTAGGACTAAAGAGAACTCTGAGGGGAGCCTAAATCCATTGAGCCTACAGATCAAACAAAGAAGTCCCATGTGCCTTTTTGAATTAGGAGTGTTTTAGAGAAGACTAATTCTCTAGATTCTGTTTAAAATAAATTAAATTTTCATAAGAATTCTTTTTGGAAGTCATGGGATTATCAGACAACATGCCAGATAATGTTCAGAGTACCAGATACCTGACAGCAAAGGATGGTTTCTCATTGATGCACCATGAGTCTAGTACCCTGAAAACACCAATTCATGCTTTGATTGTGTACACAGATGCATAAACATCAGAACTGTACAGTCATATCAGTCCTTATTTCACAGATGTCCTTTGAAATGTGGAAAAGAAACCGGATAAACTGACTGCTAAGCAGAAATGTGAATGACAAATGCAGTGAGGACATGTCATGGTATGCCTTAATAGCCATAGTCTAGGGAAGTGGGGGTCAAGGGTGAAGCACTGTAGTCCTGACACACTCAGGGAGAAACCACTGAATTCATCTTCCCTTTTCATTTTCTGACTTTTGCCTCTCAGTCTCTACCTATGTTTTCCTCTTTGTCTCACTTTTCTTTTTCTCTCACTCATCTCCCCTTCTCATAGCCTTGTTTCTCTCTCCTCACATCCCTTATAGAGCTCTCTCTACCCCTTTCCTTTCCACCAAGTTCTCTCTCTCTCTCTCTCTCTCTCTCTCTCTCTCTCTCTCCATGGAATCACAGATCATAAAAGCTGAAAAAGACCTAAGACATCATTTAGCACATTTAGTAAGTGCAGCTCTATAGGTAGGGAAACAGAAGCTCAGGCTCATTAAGTGGCTATGATAAAGACCACCCTTGAGTTGAAGCAGCCTGTTTCTTGCTTCTTAGTTAATATACCATGGCCTTAGCACAAAACCGATGGACTTTAAATTACTTCTAAAAACTTTATCGAATAGTTTGATGTCTCTTTCTCTTAATTAAAAAGTGAGTGATGAGTGAAGTATTTCATCATTCTCTCTTATTTTAAAAGAACAAAACAAAATGAATAGTGCATGTGTGGTGAAGATAAATCTGCTCATTTCCTCTCCTTTCCTCATTACTCATGAAGTAGGATGCACGCAGACTCAATACAAATTTGCTTACAAAGTTTGTGATAGTTGTTTAAATCTTAAACACACACAAATTCCCTAAGAAACAGGAATCCCAATAAGGGGAAAGAGCAACAAAATAGGAAGTGGAAGACTTTGGTTCAGTTCCAGCTGTGTTACAAACTAGTCTTCAGAACTTAGACAAGCCAGTCTCTTCTGCGTTTAGTGTCTTTATCACCAAATGAAGGGTTGAGTTAGGGCTACCTAAAACTCTTTCCGACTCTCAGATTTAGGGATGTGTCATGAAAAAACTATGCTTAGCTACTCATGGCAGTTCATAATCTAGGGAGAAGGCCAAGCTATGCCTGTAACAGGCCTAACTCCAGGACGAAAGTATCAGATACTACCAGCTATAAGGCAGAATTAGGGCTACTAGTACTGATGTTCAGATAGTGCACTGCAGAAAGACATCATATCTAAAAGAGTTCTATTCCTGGTAAATACATATACGAACTTATATGAGAGTACTGCAGGAGTTTGGCACAGAGATTCTGGCCTCCCAGCATAGTACTAGAATGGTATAGGATGCCGAGTCTTCTGCATATGCACTATCTTGATTATGCCCCAGAAATTTCTTGAGTTTGCATTTCCTCCTTGCATAATTCTTGGAGTCCCAAATCCAGCTTTTCATTCACAGCCCTATACCCTGACTCCAAACCTAACAAAGAGGTCTCATAAGATAGTTAGAGCTTGGTCATGGGCAGATTATCCATGCTGCTAGTAGAATGTTTTCCTTTCTGCCTGTGGGTTGAGTGAGTAAGTGTAAGTGTGGAACATGAATGTACCGGTATATATATAGTCAAAGCTGTTGTTTAATACACAAGATGGACAGATGCTGTACAAGAATATACTCATATAATTAGTTGTTTTTTGCTTGCAAGAAAACACCATTTTCTAATTAATACAAAGTTGTGATAGCAGCTAGTTGTGACTCTGGGCCAAGTAATATAGCTGTAAAGTTCTGGGAGGGGTTTTTTGTTGTTGTTCACTATTATATCCCACTCACAGGATTATTTTGTCAAAATCCAAATTTTTATTCACTTAAGCTTGAAGCTAGCTTTTGATTATCTAAAATGTGAAGTCCTCTCAAGGGTAAAACCATCGGCCTGTGTTGTGCCCTCCTGAGTTCAGTGAATGAGATTTAGATGCCTGACTGAGGACTGATTTTAAAGAGAAAAACTTAGTGACAGGTAAATGTAGAGGGTATGAGTGAGGGGAGCACCACAGAGATGAGGCAAAGGGAAAGGCTGGAAACATACATCTCAAACTTTCACATGTATCCAAGTTACATGCAGGGCTTGATAAAACAGATTCCTAGCTTCACCTCCCACAAGTTTTGATTCCATAAGTGTTGAGTAATACTTGAGAAATGGTCTTTCTAAGTAGTTTCCAGGTAGTACTGATGCATCTGGTCCAGGGTCACACTTGGAGAATTGCTGGATAGAGTGGTTTGAACATTTTAGTACAGGCAGGCACTGATCCTAGATTGCCCTTCTGAACTCTGTGGGCAGTGAACATAGCTGGTGTAGTTTTGTTCAGCTGCTAACGATCTCTTGAAGCCATCCCTAGTCAAAGGACTTTGAGCTCTTTGGCTGGAAGATGTTTTCTAACACAGAGTAGAGGCAAGTAACTCAGATGCTTGCATCTTCCATTTGCCTTTGCCTCTGGCAGTTTCCAGATGCAGTGCTACAGCTGGATATGTTTCTTAATAAGAGAGTGGCTACACTTTCTCATTCTCAGAATTCGATTGCACAGGGCTCTCTGCCT